CTGTCACAAGGACTGTAAGACACTCTTAAAAGATATTACACACCTTTAACAGGGAGCCTCATTACACAGAAAATAAAATTGAAGCATGTTTACTCATTCAAAAGAATGATAACAAAGTCTTTTATTTAAACTCCCTTATAAATGTGAATTGGGGCATATTTGTTCATTAGTTAAACACAATTGCACAGGCATGATTGTGAAATCGAATTTTAAAAGGCACTCCATAATAGCTAAAGAAGCTTGCCTTTGCTGGATTGGAGCACGTTCATGCAGAACACAGCACTTCTTTTTTAAGTTCCAGGATACATGTGCAGAACATGCAGGTTTGTTACATAGGTAAGGGTGTGCCATGGTGGATTGTTGCACTTATCAACCCATCACCTAGGTATTAAGCCCCATATGCATTAGTTATTTATTGTGATGTTCTCCCTCCTCCTTCCCCGCCTCCACCCTGACGGGCCCCAGGAACACAGCACTTCTTAAAAGTCACAGGCAGCATGCATGTCACTTTGTATAATTCTGCTTTATGTGTTTGGTGTGGTGGCCTCTTCCTTTGCTCTACATGACAGAAACCTTAAGGCCAAGTGTGTTCTACCTTAACTTTGTCCCTAAAAGTGCCCTGAACAGTTAAGAATTCCCAGCATGACTCATAGGGACCCACTCCTGTCACTGCTCCAGGGCTCAGAGTTTCTCCCGGAATCCTGGGCCCTCCCTGCCGTGTCTCTCCTTTTCACCCCAGAGTGCAGCCAGGCTCATAGGACATTGGTTTATTGGAGCTTACACACAACAGGCCCCATGCAGAGTGGGGTGCACCTGACGGTGGAGGAAGATCTCTCTACATCACCCCACACAGACTGCTAACTACCAGTCCAGGCTCTTCACTCACTTTCCTTTGGCACGGTTAACCCACACATCAGGCTTGTCCAGGCAGCTCCAGTTCCTCCTTTTTATCCTCCTCAAAGCCACACACCAGAGCTCCCTCTGCCCACTGCTGATTCATAGTGTCTCTGTCTTTTCCTCTCTTTCCCCATCCCACTCTTGGTCTCAGACCAAAATGCTTCCAAACATTTCCTCAGAGCTATTCAGAGTTGGACTTTCCTGTTTTGTACTTGCCAAATGTTTCCTGAATTGGTCTCCCATTCTAAAACATGCCCCACAACGAATGTCAAAGAAAGATGTCTCTGCCCCCCTTAATTCAATCCTTTCCCACATCTCTTGAACATGGTTTTTTAAAGGGCCTGAATTTCTCCCCACCTTTGTACCACTTTCCCATTCTACCCTGCCCCTCGAATCCTAAAATACAGCAGGAACACCAGATCATAAGGTAATACAGAACTCTCACTCAGATCTCTTCAACACAATCATCAACACATGGCTCACTGGGATTTACATCATACTGGATCAAGGCAGATAGAGGCTACTTTGAATACATACAACATTGGGATGTTGCTTTTGTTGGTGCTGAGGTAGAGGTGGGGGTTTGGGAGAGTGTGCTCTTTTTAAAGCCATAATGTAGCAACCAGTATCTATGGCAGGCATATGTTAATGTATAGGCTCAATGTTTAGGGGTTCCATATTTGTAATTATTTATTATTTGTTTGGCTTTTTTTGTTTTGGCCTCTGCACCAACAAATCAAACATTGCTTGTCTGAACAAATGATTCTGGTCATTTCCAAACATGGCCCAGCCAACTTGAGACAATGCCATTTTACAAAAACAGTACATAAATATCATCCAAATGTGGGCAATCACAAACAGCTACAAAGCAAATGTTACTGAATCCAACAGTGGGGCTAAGTACTGGATAACGTATCATTCAGAATTTAGGAAAACAAATCAGGTTGACACAACCCCTCCCTCCCACAAAGTGCCAGTAGAGTAAATGGCCACAGATAGCTAATGTTGGATAATTAAACACGGAGGAATTGCAAACTCAAATGGAATATTCTTGGTGGAGGCATTAAGATGTTTTCATTGCCCCAACCAGAATTCACATCAGATGTGTTTGTTTGCTTTTCCCAGGAATCAAACATGCTGTGCGCCCAGGGAAATGCCATGTTAGTTGGGTTTTAGTAAGAAATTTTACCCAAACTGGCCTTATAAGGGTAGGATTTTGCACTTGATTTCTGCCTTTGAAGATGACCTATTGAACAAAGTTTCCTAAATTAAAAGAATGAGATTTCCTTCTGCCTAAAACGTAATTAGAACCTAAAATGAAATGTTGGATAATACCTAAAATTGTGAGAATATCTCTTCTATAAAATACTTTCACGATTCCCTCTTTCTCAAGATTAACTACTACCACAGTGATAACCGAGTTTAAGCATGCGTTTTCTTGATTCTGAAAAGTCTGAATGCATTATGGCTCTGGATTTCTAAGTCTGGGCAGGGAAATGTATTAATTTTTAAGGATTCTAAGCAATGGCTTTAGTTAATTTTACATAGAATTGGATAGAACTATGGGATGGTATTTAACAAGTATATATGCATCCGATTAAATTAACTTGGTGATAACTTACTGTTCCTAAATTGTTACTAAAAATAGTTACACCTAGAGTCATCCAGAATGCCAAAATTTCATGAGATGACACAGCAGATAAATTGGTTTCTCCAACTCCTACCTTCTACCAGATTGTTCTGTATAGAACAATCATGCTTCCAAAGGCAGCCACCACCAGCAAGACCAGGAAGAAAGAAATTAACCAGGTTTAAGCCCTCAATCAAGCAGATAAATTGTGTATGCTCCAAAGCATTCTTACTGAGGAATAAAACTGAGGAGTTGTAGCATATGCTACAGTTACTGTTAGAAGAGGTAAAAGCCAGTCACCTGAGACTCTTTACCCTTTGCTCCTCAACACCTGCAGTTCCCAGCATACCACCTTCACTTTGATCTCGAGTCTCATTTCACTTCCCTAACATTAGAGTTTAGGCACATTCAATTTTCTCTCACTTTGGATTGTTATAAAGTGAATTAATTCAAGTCTTCTTTTGTTTTCCTTTTTAGCTTATATAATAAAAGAACACAGGCTTGTTCCAAAAACAAAATTTTAAGCCCAAACATAACTTTATAAGGTAAAAAGTAAAAACATCCTCTTTTCTCCATCTTGTCTCACTTCCTTAAGACAGCCACTGTCAACAGTTTGGGGACAAAAAGGTGTATGTGTGGTTGTACGCAGGTTTCAATAAATGTATATAAATTTCTTCTGAAGCTCGTTTTTTTTCATTTAATATACAGCATCTTGATTTTTCAGTCAATGTACAAAATAGCTAGCAGAAACACATTTATTGCATTTCTTCCTTTTCCTACAATGAGATAGCCAAACTAAGATTTACTGTCACAAGAAGCTTAACAAAAAAGCCTGTCAACCTAATACTACATTTATCTTTGGTTATATCTGTTTTTATATTGCCTTCAATCTAAAACTGGTGAGGACAAATGGGTAAACATACACACATTAATATACATAGGTAATAAATACAGAAAGTATCCTACATGGCTAAAATGTTAATGTGAGTAATACATGCATGCTGAAATGAAGTTAAGTTTCAAGGGCAAGAAGCTAAGGAAGGCATCTGCGTAGGTGGAGAGACTTAATGGGTTCTGATTAAGGAGGGAACCATATGGAAATTTCCTGGGCTTTGGAGCCAGAAACATGAGGTCAAATCTATTTCTTACTGATTATGTGGTTTGTGTAAGTTGTTTAAAACCCTTCTGAGCTTCCTTTTTTGTCATGCACAGAACTAGGGGAAAGACTTATCTCATAGAGATTTAGATATTAAATGTTTGAGATGGTGTCTTGAACATAGGAAGTTCTCAAAAAAAAGTCTTAATACTGTTAATAATCCAGACACTATATATATATATATAATATAATATATATATATATATAGAGAGAGAGAGAGAGAGAGAGAATGGAATTGGTTACCCAATACCCACAGCACCAAATATCTGAACTCTGCTTTTTGTCTTGTGTTTCTAGTTTGCCTTCATGCTTTTGTATTTATTTGTATAGACATGGAAAATGCCTTAGAAATAAACTGTAAACATGAAAGACACACAACTACTTAGCTTTAATGCATTATTGAAGTGATGCGCTCTCCTCCTATTTCCCCAGAGCATCTTGCACTAAGGTCATTAACAATATCCCAACATTCCCCTAAGCAATCCTAAATTTTACCTACACCTTGTGATAAATACAAGCCATCTGACTACCACTAAATAACTGACAATATCCTCCACCTCCGCTAATGACTAGCAGCTTGACCTGTCAAAAGCCAAGCTTCCCAAAGAGGAGGATCCCATCCTCACCTTGAATTTAACAAGGCTAAAACAGGTATATACACTTTTAGCTGGCTAGTGCCCACGTCTTGGGGAAAGGACCTACGAAGTACACATCTTCTTTTATTATATATTTTAGTCAACTGTATGTCCACCCACCCTTCACATTCATCTATACTGAAGAGCTTAGGTTTCCACAAAATCATGGATTTCTAGGAATAGGGGAAATTTTGGCCACTTTACTATCGAACCATCCTCTTTCTCATGTGAAAAAACTGGGGCTCAGGAAGATGTGGCACGCCCAAGGACACACAGCTATTTAGACATCAATTGGGATTAGAACCTCAACTCTTTAAGCCTTTTGCACACTAATAAGCAAGGTATTATACATTCCAGTAGTTCTGTAAGGTGCTTATTTAATCTTTTTTTGGATGAAAAGGAATGTCGGTGGTTGCGAATGCGTGTGAGAGAAGCAAAATGTACTGTGTGCCGGCCCGACGGGCAATTAACCCACCTGTCTGTCCATGTTGAGCTGGGATTAATGAAGGGGAAAGTTGCCTTTGTAATTTTCCACCATCTTATCTAAATTTGCAGGAAAATTGCTCTATGGGCAGTAAATAGGACCCAGAAAGACAAGCAACCTCCAGTAGAATCTCAAAGGGCTCCAGAGACATGTTAGACCAAGTTGAAGTAAAGCACGAGGTGGGGGATGTCTGCTAGGATGGTGGCAAGCAAGGGAGAGGATTTTTTTTCCCGTATTTATTCACCTGGAAGGGCAGACGTTGTCAATTTCCTCCTCCTGCCACACAAGTGGCCACGTCCTTGTCACTGGGGCTGCGCGGAGGTTCTCACCTCCCACCTTCTCCCAGGGATGTTTAGGGCAAGGGAACGGGTCGGGCTGGGCCGAGGAGGGCCCGGGCGTCGGCGCCCACCCCCGTCTCCACCCGCGGCAGCAGCTGTGGGCGCCGGGCGAGGGCTCCCTGGGCAGCGCCTTTGTTTTCCCGACTCCAATTACGTTTGCGGAAGTGCTGCCAGCGCCGGGCGCGAAGGGGGCGCAGGCGGCAGCCTCCCCCAGCACCCCACAAAGATGACACTCGACTCGGAAGCCGGGGGAGGGAGGCAGCGGCGGGTGAGCCAGGCCGAGAGCCGAGTCGGCGGCGCACGCTCGGATGCCGGCCCCGGATCCGAAGCCCCTTTCCGGCAGCAGGTGTGCGCGGCAGAGGGTCTCCCCGCCCTCCGGCTGGGCCCGTCGCAGGCGCGGGAGACCAGGGCTGGGCTGCGAGCCCCTTCCCCGCACGCCGAGCCCGACTCACCTGCTGCGGCGACGGCAGCGCTCAGCTGCGCGGGGCGCCGGGAGCCCTGTTCCCGGAGCGCGGGGCGGCGGCTTGGGGCCCCGGGGCGGCGCGCATCATCGCTGGCAGCTGGCGCGCTCCTCGGGGGCTGCGGCTGGCGGGGCGGGGCGCGGCAAGGGTTGCGGACCGGGTGGGGCCGCCGAGTACGGAGGCGGAGGGCCGAGAGCTCCCGCCGGCACGACCTTCTCTCACGCTGCGGCTCCTCCTCCTCCTCCCTGGCCGGGGCCTCACCGCCGCCGCCGCTGCTCACTACCGGCTGGACCCGTTCAGGGCCGGGCGCCGAGGACCGGCCGCCAGGTGCAGCGCTCCGCCTCCTGCGGCGGCGGCGGATGCGTCGACCGCCCGCTCCCGGCCTCCCGCCCGCCCCGGCGGCCCCTAGGGACCCCTGAACCCAGCTGGGCCGGGGGAGCGCGCTGAGGGGAAAGCACTGGGCGAGGCTCCATCCCTTCCCCTCCCTCTACCCACCTCGCGGCTCCCGCTGAGCCCCCAGGCAATGGGTGCGGACGGGGAAAGGTGGGGAAAATGTACTAACAGCCCTTATTCCTTGAGCGCCTTTTAAGTGGCACACACATGCTAACGCGATCAGTGCGTTATCTCCGCGTCTCTGTCCCTGGTCGACCCGGGAAGGAGGAGCCGGCAGGGTGCAGGAGACACACGATTTGTGAGTTTCGGGGCTCACCAAGAAGGGGGAACACTGAGACGAATGCGCCCTCTTTCAAGAAGGTGCTACTGGCGCCTTGCTGAAAAGCCAACAGTGTGTGTCGTACTAAGAATATGATTAAAGTTGTATTTCTGGTTAAAGACACAGAGAAGGTTGGGAGAGTGGAGAATTCATTTGGCAAGTGTGTCTGTGTGCCTGTGATGGGCCCTGAGGGATGCCACATCCTGTTCTTAAGGAGCTTATGGTCTTGTTCTGGCAACAAAGACAAGAGTGGCAATGGTAGCTAACGCTTATACACATCGATTATGTGTGAGGCACTGTGTAGGTACTATTTGAGCCTTAGAATCCTATAGGTATAGGAAATGTTATTACCATTTTACAACTGAGGAAAGCTGAGGCTGAAAATTAATGTGACTCATTCAAAGTTACTAAACAGCAAAAGGGAAAGCAGGTTTCTTTTATCTCCAGGCTTTAAGCTCTTAACCAGGAAATCATACTGATAAGAATTTGATAGGCCCTGAAGTTTCAGAATTTTGAGTCCCTCTTTAGGAAGAATAAAGCAAATACAAATATGAAGTTTCTAGGGCCCCTTCAGTAGCCTAATGCTAAATCCACTTTCAGTATTGACATAAAAACAAAACAAAGATGGAGAGTACGAGAATTTCAAATGAAAAAGACTAAGGTGGGGGTTGAACTCAGAGAATGATAGATGCTGGTTTGGTGTGACCTGAAGACAGCTGCTTCCTATGGAATTACTTGGAACTCAATGTCATAAAGTCCCCAGTTGTTAGCTGTCATAACTTAATTATTCTTTCTGTCCAGCAATTAAAGAAGCAACTTAAAAAATAAAAAAACACACTTCTAGGTCTAACATGGGTCAAGTTCTCGCCTGCGTATGGCAAGAGAGAGAAACAAGCAGAACTTGGGGAAAATGGGGCAGTTCTTGACCTACAAAGGCAGCTCCATGTTGAACAGTGAAGTCACATCATCCAGAGATTACAGCCAGTGACACTGTTTCGAATACGATAGGGTAGACTCAAAGGTCAGCACAGAAGAAAATGGGGGGTTTCGGGTTTTTGGGTTTTTTTCTTCCCCCAGACTGGAATGCAGTTGCACACTCATGGCTCCCCACAGCCTCAACCTCTTAGGCTCAGGTGATCCTCTTGCCTCAGCTTCTTGAGTAGCTGGGACCACAGGCACACAACACTACACCTGGCTAATTTTAAAAAACTATGTGTAGAGACAAGGTTTTACGATGTTGCCCACACTTGTCTCAGACTCCTGGGCTCAAGCAGTCCTCCCACCACCTCAGCCTCCCAAAGTGCTGGGATTACATGTATGTGCCACTACTCCAGATCAGAAACTGCTGTTTTAACTGACCTTGGTAGGGCAGGAATATTTTCCTACCAGCCATATTCCTTTTAATATGTTCAAATGTTTCATAATTGTTCTAACTCATAATTAAACTAAATATTATATTTAAAATTGTCTTCATTTTTAAAGTATAAGTAAAATGAATATAACTCAAGGAGAAGATACAAGTATGCATAAAGAAAAAGTGATCTGCCACTCCACCCCCACCTTCTTACCTGCTGTGAGCTTGGTGTGGGAAATTAGCCTCCAAGTATACTGACAAAATTTTTAAAATGTTGTGATCACATAATATATTGAAGCAGTTTAAACCACATAGTAAGAAGATGGAAAAAGAGGACAGGTTAACACACTTCGGATAGGGTACAAGAGGTAGTATGTTTTATTAAATATGTGTAGATTCTCTCTCTTTCTCTCCCTCTCTGTGGACTACGTCATTCTTCCCTGCTGATGATATAGTTGCAAGGACCAAAGTTGAAGTTGAACAGGGGGTTTGGCAGACAAAAGGTGCCTGGTCAACTTGTACTTGCTCTATCAGGAGACTTAGCAGCAGGCATGTCTGGCTATAGCTCTAGCTCACCAGATCGCTGGATAAATAGCTATGGACTATATTGGCATTTCTTAGGTAGAGAACAAATGCAGCCTGTGTGGGTGACAGCAGTGGGTGGTCATTTTAAGACTTCCTGAATATCAAATATCTCATGCACCTTGTGAATATTTAGTGTATCAAGAATAATTGGTGCCTACTGGGTCCTTCCAAACCTTCCTATGTTCAGGTCACATATGCATTACTTTATCTCACAGCTTCTACTTTATCTTCCTTAAAATGTTTTTCTTTTTTATTTTGGCAGAACTGAATATTCTTAAATAAGGAAACAAGCACATTATAGTGGGTAGCAATAACAAAAATAGCTAACGCATACAAGACTTACCATGTGCAAGGCATGGCTCAAAGCACTTTCAATATATTAATTCATATAATCCCCACAACAATCGCATACTGGTAGGTACTGTTACCTCCTTGCACTGGTGAGGAAGCTGGTGCATATAAAAGTGAAGCAACTAGACTGAAGCCATCTCACAAGGAAATGCTGGGATCTGCATTTAAACTTTGGGTTCAGGGCTTTGGTTCTTAACCCCTCCTTCCTCCTTGCCCATTTAAATATTTACAAACATGTATATTCACATATGGAGGGTTGGGAATTTTATTTTTATGCACATGGTGTCAATTATTTCTTTCTCCAGTCATTTCTTCCTCCTGTTAGGAACAGGAGACACTAGTCCCCTCCTTGAAATTCTTTCTCTTCTTTTGGTGCCCCGCAAGTCTTGGATTTTCCTCCTTGACACTCTGCCCTCCTCTGTCTTCTGTGACCCACGAGTTTTGAGTTTTCCTCTTCCTTTCTGATAACCCCACTTTGTGTGCTCCACTTGGGTTTTAGTTTTCCTTGAGTTTGTTTCTAGGCTTTCCTTTCTTCTGATTGTTTTTTTTTCTGTGAATGCTCTCACTCACTCCTTGGCTTCAATCATAGAATGTTTGAGGATGCTCCAAAAACCCTCTCTTGGGGTCAGCCTCTCTCCTGAGGGCCAGATCCTTATGGTCACTTGTCCAGTGTGATATGTCAGAGGGATCCCAAACTCGCTAAGTGCCACACCAATGTATCATTACCTTGTGTTCTTTTCTCACTCACTATTTTTTTTAAGACAGAGTCTCATTCTGTCACCCAGGCTGAATTGCAGTGGTGCGATCTCAGCTCACTGCATCCTCTGCCTTCTGGGTTCAAGTGATTCTCCCACTTCCACCTCCCGAGTAGCTGAAATTATAGGCACGCACCACCACGACTGGCTAATTTTTGTATTTTTAGTAGAAATTAGGTCTCACCATGTTGGCCAAGGTGGTCTGGAACTCCTGATCTCAAATGATCTTTTTCAGTCTTCCAAAGTGCTGGGAGTACAGGCATGAGCCACTGCACCCAGCCCCCCATTCACTCTTCTGGGTTCCCAGACTCTGGGGTCCCAAACAGCAATCCAACCAGTTGTACAAGCCCCTTTTTCTGAACGCTCCTTTCACCCTTATTTTCACACCCAGTGTATTAGTTTCCTATTGCTGCTGTAACAAGGTGTCATAAACTTTGTGGATTAAAACATACATTTACTTTATTTTATTTTATTTCAGCAGCACAATTTTTACTTCCTGAACTGCAGGAAGGGTACTCTTACTAGCCATCTTGCCATGAGAGTACAATGAACAAAGGAAAACACACACATTCATCCCTTACGCATTGGGGTCGTCCTTAGTGCTGTATCTGATCTTAGTTGGCTGGAGCCAGACCTCACAATCTAAACTAAAACCCGATTGGCTAACAACTTAAAACTTTTCTAAACAGGTGAAAGAGTGGGGAGCTGGGACATGCCTGTGAGCATGTCCAGCACAGATATCTTGGTTAAAGTACAAGGACATAGAATGTACTACGTGCCTCTAAGCATGGCATGTTTAACAGCTACATAGGATGGGGCTTAACAAAGAGCTACTAGTACACTTATGATTTATTCTTTAACAAGAAAGGGAACTTTAAAAAGGAACTTTTCTACTTCCCACACCACACCAACCCATTCCCAGCTTGTTGGCTGACACCAGGATGTATCCTAGAATTCAATCAATTTTTTTTATTATTATACTTTAGGTTGTGGGGTACATGTGCAGATCGTGCAGGATTGTTATATAGGTATACACATGCCATGGTGGTTTGCTGCATCCATCCCCCCATCATTTATATTAGGTATTTTTCCTAATGTTTTCCCTTCCCCATCCCCCACTCCCTGATATCCCTCGCCTAGCTCCCCCACCCCCACAACAGGCCCTTGTGTGTGATGGTCCCCTCCCTGTGTCCATGTGTTCTCATTGTTCAACACCCACTTATGAGTGAGAACATGCAGTGTTTGGTTTTCTGTTCTTGTGTCAGTTTGCTGAGAATGATGCTTTCCAGATTCATCCATGTCCCCGCAAAGGACATGACCTCATCCTTTTTTATGGCTACATAGTATTCCATCGTGTATAATGTGCCATAATTTTCTTTATCCAGTCTATCATTGATGGGCTTTTGGGTTGGTTCCAAGTCCTTGCTGCTGTAAACAATGCTGCAATGAACATATGTGTGCATGTGCCTTTATAATAGAACGATTTATAATCCCTTTGGTATATACCCAGTAATGGGATTGCTGGGTCAGATGGTATTTCAGGTTCTAGATCCTTGAGGAATCTTCACACTATCTTCCACAATGGCTGAACTAATTTACACTCCCACCAACAGTGCAAAAGCATTCCTGTTTCTCCACACCCTCTCCAGCATTTGTTGTCTCCAGATTTTTTAATGATCGCCATTCTAACTGGCGAGAGATGGGATCTTAATATGATTTTGATTTGCGTTTCTTTAATGACCAGTGATGATGAGCATTTTTTCATATTTTTGTTGGCTGCATAAATATCTTCTTTTGAAAAGTGTCTGTTCATATCCTTTGCCCACTTTCTGATGTTTTTTTTTTCCTTGTAAATTTGTTTGCATTCTTTGTAGATTCTGGATATTAGCCCTTTGTCAAATGAGTAGATTGCAAAAGTTTTGCCCATTCTTTTG